AGATGATCTTATAAAAATGCCAGGTTACATTAGCATCCACTCTACCATTAGAGATCCATATAACTCAAATATATGCTCCCTACGAGTCTGTAGTTAAATCTTTTTTTCTTATATTGAACTGAAACCAGGGAACTGGAGATTAAAGAGGAACAAGAAAAAGTTATAAAGGGTGTGGTAATATACAATTGTCTGTTATAGGATATTTACTTTCAGGAGGTGAACTTCAAAATCCAATATTTTAAGTTGTTGTTGTTAGGTGCTGTCGAGTCGGTTCCCACTCATAGCATCCATATGCACAACTGAACAAAATGCTGCCCAGTACTGGACCAACCTCACCATCGTTGTTACTCTTGAACCCATTGCTGCTACCAATGTGACAAGCCACTTCTTGGAGAGTTTCTTCTTTTTCACTAACCCTCCTCTTTACCAAGTAAGAATGTCCTTTTCCAGGGACTAGTTCCTCCTGATAATATGTCCGAAGTAAGAGTGAAGAACTGATAACCCTCATCCTATTAATTTTAAATCACTTTATCCTCTGTATTTAATCATCTACTACATTATTAAAGAATGTACTATATCAATCAATTTTCCTAAATTCTATATACCCAATCTCTCCTTACCTATCATATCTTTAACATCAGTTTGCAAATATATTTTTTTCTAAGTCTTTCTCACTTTACAAAAAATTCTCCATCCTTTTTATAGTTCCTTTAGTCATGGATTAGATCCCTTGTTGATTTAATGCCAAGGTTTTAGAAATCACATACATTGTGCTCCAATATTTATACTCACTCTCATCCATTCAGTTACTGCTAAATTAATTTATCATTGGATTTCCTTTCTAATTACTAACATATTTTTAGTTACTAATACATTATTAACTACATTTGATCTTTCAGTCCTTATCAGATTTGGCTTCTCAGGCAATTTCAAATTGTGTGCCACCCATTGTGATACCATACTCTGTTGGTTTTAATCCTTACTATAATATTGACCATAGAAGACTTGATGCTTTTGAGTTATGGCGTTGGAGGAGATTATTGAAAGTGCCATGGGCTGCCAAAAGAACTAATAGATCCATTTTGGAAGAAGTGTAGCCAGAGTGCTCCTTGGAGGCCAGGATTGGCAAACTTGGTCTCTCTTACTTCAGACATATTGTCAGGAGGGAGCAGTTGCTGGAGAAGGATATCATGTTTGGTAAGTTGGAGGGTCAGAGAAAAAGAGGAAGACCCCCAACAAGATGGATTGGCCAAATGGCAGCATCGATGGACTCAAGCGTGGCAACAGTAGTGAGGTTGGCCCAAGATTGGGCAGTGTTTGGTTCTGCTGTGCATGAGTCGGTAAGACTTGATGGCACCTAACAACAACAACAACAACAATAATATTGTCTGGAGTCCTGTTGTGGCACTGTGGATTAATGGACTAGACTGAAAAGCTGTTTGAACTGCAAGGTCAGCGATTCAAGCTCACCAGCTGATCCTCGGAAACCTACAGGTTCACCATAAGTCGGAACCGACTCGACAGCACTTAATAGCAACAACATAGTATTTTCTGGAGCCCTGATGTGGCACTGTAAGATAAGCACTAGACCACAAGGTCAGTTTGTACCACAAGATCAGCAGTTCAAACTGACTAGTTGCTCCTTGGAAACCTTATACAGGGTTGCTATGAGTCAGAACGGGCTCAACAGCACTTAACAACAACAGCAACATAACACTTTATTTTTATCTCACTTTAATGTATAGGGTAGTGGTGGTGGTTACGTGCCATGGAGTCAGTTCCAACTTATAACGACGCTGTACAGGGTTTCCAAGGCTGTAAAGCTTTATGGGAGCAGAAAGTCTCATCTTTCTTCCATAGAACAGCTGGTAGTTTCGAACTGCTGACCTTGAGGTTAGCAGCCGCATTTGTAACCACTACACTACCAGAGCTCCATTAATGTATATGTTGTTGTTAAGTGCCGTGGAGTCGGTTCCAACTCATAGCAACCCTGTGCAGGGTTTCCGAGGCTGTAAATCTTTACAGGAGCAGAATACCTCATCTTTCTCCCATGGAACAGCTGGCAATTTCGAAATGCTGACCTTGGGTTCACTGCCCGATTCGTAACCACTACACTACTCCCTTCCTAAGATGTATGCTAAGTTCTGCATACTTTTTTGATTGAAAAATCTCTCTGAGGTTGTTCACTCACTGTGTTTGAATAAAATGACACTCATATAATAATAGCACCCAGATCTAGACTTTCAGAAAAGTCTGTGTCTGAAGATTCACACCCACATGGACATTGCAAGTTGTTGTCTTTGTTAGGTTCCGTGGAGTGGGCTTCAACTCATAGTGACCCTGTGCACAACAAAATGAAGCACTTTCCAGTCCTGTGCCATCCTCAGAATTGTTGCTATGCTTGAACCCATTTCTGCTGCCACTGTGCCAATCCATCTTCTTTGGGGTTTTCCTCTTTTTCATTGACCTTACTTTACCAAGCATGATATCCTTATCCAGGGACTGGTCCCTCCTGATACTATGTCTAAAGTGTAAGAGACAAATTCTCACCAACCTGGCTTCTAAGGAGCATTCTGGCTGTACTTCCTCCAACAGAAGTTTGTTTGTTCTTCTAGCGGTGCATGATACTCTCAATATGCATCTCTAACACCATAACAAAATAATTCAATTGCATCAATTCTTCCTTATACATTGTTCAACTTTCACATGCTACTGAAAATATTATGGCTTAGGTTGGGTGTAAATTAGTCTTCAAATCTTCCTTCTTAAACACTTCAAAGAGGTCTTGTGTAACAGATTTGACTAATGCAATAAGTTATTTGATTTCTTGACTGCTGCTTCCCTTACTGCTGATGGTGGATGCAAGCAAAATGAAGTCTTTGACAACTTCAATCTTTTCTCCATTTATAATGGAGAAAATTTATTGATCCAGTTATGAAGATTTTTGTATTCTTGATATTGAAATGCAACCATACTGAATGTTGTACTATTTGATTATCATCAGTAAGTTTTTCAAGTCCTTCCATCTTTCAGCAAGCAATGTTGTATCATCTGCAGTCATATAGTCATATGTTGTTAATGAATTTTCCTTCAATCCTGATATTACATTCTTCTTCATATAATCCAATTTCCTGAATTATTTGCTTAGCATACATATTGTAAAGTATGGTAAAAAATATAATTCTAGCACAAACATTTCCTGATTTTAAAGCATTCAGGGCCCCTTGTTCTGTTTAAATGATGGCCCCTTGGTCTATGTACAATGAAATGTTCTGGAATACCCATTCTTTCCAATGTTATTCATAGTTTGTCAGGATTCACACAGTAAAAATCCTTTGCGTAGTCAATGATACACAGGTAAATATCTTATCTTTCTAGTATTCTCTGCTTTTAGCCAAGACCATTCTCTGCTTTCAGACAAGATGTTGTATGGATATCTTGGTTTCTTTTCTTTTCTTTTTTTTTGAGATCCTTATTTTTTATTTTGTTGAAAATGTATGCATTCATACACAATTTTAACATATTTAACTAAATAATATTGATTACATTATTCAAGTTATGCAAGCATTCTTGCTACTCTTTGCTAACCTGTTTCACTAACATTGACTTAAAACCACTGCCCCCTAAGTTTGTCATCTAACCTTTTGAGTTGTTGAGGAATCCTGGTTTTATATACAAGAAGACATAACCTTTGTCTTAAACTTCACTGCTTTGGATTACATTTGTTTTTCTGCTCAACAACATAAAATAAATAGTAACATTTATGTATGTTCTAAGAAAATAAATAGTAAGATTTTTCCAAAACCTAGAACTTAATTTATATAAGGGGACTTCAAAAAGATTGTAGAAAACTTCCATTATCTTTTAATTTCATTTTTCTGTGAACATTTTGAAGCCCCTCACATATCCAAAACTAAATCTAAATAATGTCAATTTTTGTGTGTACATATGTATAGTAATTTGGGTGGAAGTTAACAGAACGAATTGGTTTTCAATTCACCCATCACACACATTTTGTACATTAATTTCACTGTCTACAGTATAGTAATACTCACTCCATTTCCTTCTTGCATGTCTCATTTCCCTTCATCCTTCTTTCCTATCCCTTGTTGTTTTCTGAGCTTTATCTCCTAGCAAATATTTCCCTTTTGATCTCACAAAATTAATTGTTCCAAGGAGTGCACACCTTCTTGGTGTTATTGTTCACTGTAGAGATCTGTCTACTGGTTGGCTGAAAGTTAAGCTATGGAACTGACTTCAGTTCCAAAGTTGAAAGGTTATATAGTTATAAAGAGTCTCAGAGATTACACCAGTCTCTATCATATAAGTAAGTCTGGCCATTATTACTATTTTGAGTTTTGTTACACATTTTTCGCCTACACTATCCAGGATCTCTTATTGTGATCCTATGCAAAGTGATCAGCAGTTGTAGCCAGGCACCATCTAGGTCTTCTGGACTTAGGGTTGTAAATAAAGGGGTTTACGTGGTCTACTAGTACTTTGGGTAATTGTTTCCTTGCATATTTGATTTTCTTCACTCTTTTTTGCTCTAAATGGGGAGAGACCTGTTGCTCCACCTTAGATGGGAGGGAGGCTCATAAGTTAAGATCTCAGGCACTATCCATTAAAGTATATAGAGCATTATCTTTGTGGACTATGTTAAGAATGGATTTCTTTACTTGATTTTTCCAAGCCATTCCATATATAAGATATTCAAAATTATATGCACTGATATTTAATAACTAAGTCTTTATTCATTTGGGTTTTATAATGTCATGGATAATCATAAATCATCTTATGATAGCAATATAAATATAATTCATTAGATATCCCTGACTTAAAAAATAAATATTGGAGTTTGATTTTAAGTTTTCTCAATGATAGAGAACTAATCTATGATCTTTTAGTAATTTCCTTACAAAAATAAAAAAGGTATTTAGATATTTTTGAATAATAGGTTAATTTATGATTTCTGTAGGATGTAAGCATTTTGCCTAAAAATGCTACAGTTCCAAGACAACATGGAGATCCTAAGCAACTTGACTTCTTCATTTCCAACCTTCTTGCTGACTGGTATTCCTGGCCTGGAATCTGTCCAGGCGTGGCTCTCCATCCCCTTCTGTTGTCTCTATGCCATTGCCCTCTCAGGGAATAGCATGATCCTGTTTGTCATCATCACCCAGAAGAGTCTCCATGAGCCCATGTACTATTTCCTCTCCATGCTGTCAGCTACTGATCTGGGATTGACTATTTCCACAATGTCAACAACACTAGCTGTCCTGTGGTTTGATGCAAACAAAATCAGTTTGGACAGCTGCATCATCCAGATGTTTTTTCTTCATGGATTCACCCTGATGGAAATGGGGGTGCTTGTGGGTATGGCCTTTGACCGTTATGTGGCAATTTGTAAGCCTCTGAGGTATACCACCATCCTCACTAATTCCAGAATCATTCAGATGGCTCTTCTGATGGTTATACGTATCACAGTTTTGCTAGTTCCACTACTTTTGCTCCTTAAACATCTCTCTTTCTGTAGAGGTAATGCCCTTTCACACTCTTACTGTTACCATCCAGATGTGATTAAATTAGCTTGTTCAGATATTCGGACCAATAGCATCTATGGATTAATTGGGCTCATTCTGACCACAGGGATTGATACACCATGCATCATCTTGTCTTACATCATGATTATTCGCTCTGTCTTGAGTATCGCCTCCCCTGAAGAGCGGCATAAGGCCTTTAGCACCTGTGTCTCCCACATTGGAGCAGTTGCCATTTTCTACATCCCCATGATCATCCTATCCTTGGTGCATCGCTATGGTCGGACAGCCCCTAGAGTGGCCCATTCAATGATGGCCAATGTATACCTGATTCTTCCCCCTGTGCTCAACCCCATCATCTACAGTGTTAAAACCAGACAAATTCGCAAGGTTATACTCAATCTGCTGTGGCAAAAATAAATAGTTTAAGTTAAATAGTAATTATATGATGATGTGTAACTTTCAGTGAAAAAGATGGAAATAATAATTTCTCTCTTAAATATTTTTCACAAATTTATTTCCTTACAAAAGTCTTTTTGTGAATCTCCATAGCATATTTATTATTATTTATAGTAGCTAAAGTTGAGAAACACTTCAAAGGTCCATCAGTTAAATAGATGAACAATTAATGAACTCTTGAAACAGACAACATAGATGAATTTCAAAAACATATTTTTATTTCTTTCCATAAAAGAATTCCAACCAAAGGGAGAGAAATACAAAACATTTTTTTTTAATTCTCAGGTTAAAGACAACAAAGGTAAATATTATTATACATCCATATTTTTTAAAATAATCATTATCATGGAATCCACACTTTCTGGAGGAATGATGTTTAAATGAACTCCTGAAAATATTGCCTTGAAAACATCTACTTACGTCTTCATAGAGTAAAATAATAGCTTAACTGAAAAATATGTCTTGAGGTTCATGCTTTTTTAAGACCTCTGCATCTGAGATCAAATTTATTACAGCATCACAAAAGAGTGGGAAGAAATCATAGGGTCAGTGAATTTTGCTAATAGGGAATGAATGTCTGAGAAAAACTCAAAGAATGTCATTATATGTTACATGTATAAGTTGTTGAATTGGTGTATGTTTTGCTGTGTATGTTTTAAATAACAGTAAAATAAAATGAAATTACGGACTACAACTGGTCATATGTAAAGCAGTTAAATTTTTAAAAGCCAATAAAATATATCCCCTTGCATTCCAGGACCTTACAATCTACTATATGAAATGACACACAGTCAAATAATTATGGTGTCTCAAGAGTTGTGAGAACTAATACACAGGAGTAGAATTTTACCCCTATTTGCTTTGCCATGAGTTTGAAAGGGTACAGGAAATAAAAAAGAATATTTGAAATCATTCTGTGGAAGAATGTGAAACGTATCATTGTAACAAATCTACTCTCTGAGGAATATACTGCTGAGTTTTAAACTCATAGGACTTATTCAAATATGTTGTTCTTAAACACTGTTGAGTTGATTCCAACTCATAGCAACTCTGTATAGGCTTTTCTAGGAGGAGAAAATGGTGGGTTTGAACTGCTGACTTTGTGGTTCATAGTCCTGTGCTGATCATACAGTGCCATACCAAGAGTCCTAGGCATGGAAAATATGAAAACACAAGACATTTCTCTTTTTCTTTTTGCTTTGCATTCTTTATCTACAACTTTGTTGTGTAAAGAACATGTTCTGCTTGAATAGTGCTAGTATGTAAAGAGATTGATTTATAGATTTTTCCTATAATTTCATTATGCTTATTGAACATCTCAATGAGGTACTTGTTGTTATGTACCGTGGAATTGGTTCCGACTCATAGTGACCCTGTACAGGGTCTCCAAGGCTGTAAATCTTTATGAGAGCAGAAAACCTCATCTTTCTCCCATGGAACAGCTTGGTAGTTTCGAATTGCTGACCCTGAGGTTTGCAGCCCAATTCATAACCACTAAGCTACCAGACATTACTATGCGGTTATAATCAGGAAAGATGTACATTAGGTTTAATACTTTCACAATATATACTCATTCTGTATACTAAGCAAAATTCTGAGTAGCTGGACCATATGAAGAAAAATGTGGCATCAAGATTGGAGGAAGACTCATTAACAACCTGTGATATACAATGATACAACCTTGCTTGCTGAAAGTGAAAAGGACTTGAAGCACTTACTGTGAAGACCAGACTGCAATCTTTCAGTATAAATGACACCTCAACATTAAGAAAACAAAAGTTCTCCCTACTGTACCAATGAGCAACATTATGATACATGGAGATAATATTGAAGTTGTCAAGGATTTGGTTCTGCATGAATCCATAACCTATGTCAAATCATCAAATGATGTACTAGAATGGTCAAGTCTGCTGTAAAAGACCTCGTTTATATATGTATTAAAAGACAAAGATGTCACTTTGAAATCTAAGATGCTCCTGAATCAAGCCACCATGTGTATTTTCAACTGCCTTATACACATATGAAAGCTGGACTATGAATAAGTATGGCTGAAGTAGAGTTGATGCCTTTGAATTATGTTGATGGAAAATAATATGGAGTATTCCATGGACTGCCAGAAGAACAAATAAAATTGTCTGGGAAGAACAGCCAGACCAATAGCAACTGCTCTAAAAGGGATCACATTATACGATGAGAGTGAGAGAAAAATGTGAAACAAAATTCAAAATCAGGTTTACTAGTCAGACAAAGGACAGGAAACCCTCTCTGGTTCTTGGTTCTACTGTTGCTACTGCTCTCTAATATCACAAATCTGTTTCCTGGATCAAGGAGATTCAATACACAGGAATCTTGGGTTCCAGAGGTTGTACTTCACTCCTGGCTCTTCCATCTTGATGGCAGTGAGATCACCCATTCTGGCTACTGAGATGATTCATTTTATACAAAGCTGGATGGTAAAAAAAAAATTTAAACCATTTTTACAATTTTCTTGTTAGATTTCCGTAAAACTTATTCACATTGTCTCACACAGTCATTTGGTGGGAGTTTAAAAGATTATAACTAGAAGAGTCAGATCAAGTAATTCAATTAAAATGCATCAAGGTATGTCATCAGAAGGGACAAGTCTCTGAAGAAGGATATCGTGATTGGTAATGTGGAGGGTCAGCAAATACAAGGAAGACCTTCAGTGAGATGGATTGTGAAGCTGACTCTCAATGGTGCAATTTGCTTTTCTGTTGTACATATAGGTGGCTAGGAGGCAAAACCAACTCCACAGCACCTGACAAAAATAGCATTTGAATGTATTGGCATTATCAAGTCTCTGCTGACTTCCTACATAGTAAAGTCAGAGATGACTTAGATTTTGTAATTATATGCCAAGAGTACAATTAATTAAGCATTAATTATAATGATGAACTGCATGTAAATTTCAGTGAAAAAAAAGTAGACACAGTTATTCCCCTCCTAGGGGAATTATGTTCTCACAAGTCTTTTGTGTATCTTCATAGTAGTTTTATTATTATTTATTATAGACAAAATTGAGGAATATCTCCCTGGTGCATCAACAGCTAAATAGATAAATTAATGAATTCTTGAAGTGGGCAACATCATTTTGTGCCAAAGCTAGGCAGTTGCAAAGAAGTACACTCTGTTTAGTTTCATCTTATATAAGAAACTAGAAAAGACAAATATATAGTCACATAAAGCAAAGCAGATCAAAGTTTGCTCAGTGGGTATTTTCTGATGGAGAGAGTAAGACAATTTGGGGGTGATGGAAATTGTCACAATTTTTACACAGCTGTATAACTATTTTTAAAGTGCATCAAAATTTACTCTTAAAATAGGTGTTTTGTATTCTATGTAAATTTATTGTCAATAAAATTAATATAAAATAAAAGTTTGTTTAGATATTAGAACTATTATTAAACATGAAAATTTAACAAGGAAGACTAAAGTAATTAAATAAAAGAAAAGTAGTCAATCAGATGACACACAACCACAAAGAAGATATCAAATACAAAAGATTTGAAGCCTACATATTTCACTGATTGAAAATACAAAGCACTTCATTGTTGTTGTTAAGTGATGTTGAGTCGGTTTGGACACATAGTGACCCTGTATAGGAACTTGTGATTCACAGTCCAGTGCTGTATCCTAAAGTGCCACACTAGGTGTCCTTTAGCTCCACCAATATCAGTCCTGAGGTACCTCCTTCTGCCAGTAAGCCTTGGCCCCAAAGCACTCAGCTCTCTCTTGCTCCTTGAGTCAATGAGCCTAGCTCCACCAAGTGCCTAGAGGTACCCCACTCCATCAGCAAGACTCCTGGATTTAAAAAGAAAAAGAAAAGGACCCAAGTGTGTTTAGCATTCAGATTTAAGTTTCTAATACCATTCTCCAATAAAAGGAACCAGGGATTCTTGGATAAATTACTGGTTCTTGGATGGGGGCAAGATATACAGAGTTCATGTTTATCTTCATACACAGACTTTTTTTAGAAATGTATATTTGGGAGTTATTATTTTATGAGTGTCATTTTCATCAAATAAAGAGGATAGACAACCTCAAAAAGATCCTTTCAAGTGAAAGCAGGACTCAGCATAATTTTTAGGAAAGGACTATATACATTAAAGCAAGAAGAGGGTAGACAGTATTATGTTGTTGTTGTCAGGTGCCATCAAGTCGGAACCGACTCATAACGACACCATGCACAGCAGAATGAAACAATGTCCAATCCTGGGTCAATCTCACTACTACTGCCACACTTGACGCCATCAATGATGCCACCTGGCCGATCCATGTCATTGGGGGTCATCCTCTTTTTCTCTGACCCTCCATCTTACCCAGCATGACATCCTTCTCCAGTGACTGTTTCCTCCGGACAATATGTCCAAAGTATGAGAGACGAAGTTTACCCAACTTGGCCTCCAAGGAGCACTCTTGCTGCACCTCTTCCAGAACAGATCTATTGGTTCTTTTGGCAGTCCATGGCACTTTTAGTATTCTCCTTCAAAACCACAATTCAAAGGCATCAATTCTTCAACGGTCTTCCTTATTCACTGTCCAGCTTTAGCATGCATATGAGGTTATTGAAAATATCATGGTTTGGATCAGGCGCACCTTAGTCCTCAAGCTGACATCTTTGCTCTTCAACACTTTAAAAAGGTCTTGTGCAGCAGATTTGCCCAATGCGATACGTAGTTTGATTTTTTTACTGCTGCTTCCATGAGTGTTGATGATTGATCCAAGAAGAATGAGAACTTCAATCTTTTCTCTGCTGATAATGATGTTGTTTATTTGTCCAGTGGTGAGGATTTTTGTTTTCTTTACATTGAGATGCAATCCATACCAAAGTCTGTGGTTTTGAGCTTCGTCATGTAGTATTTTAAGTCCTCTTCACTTTCAGCAAGCAAGATTGTACCATCTACACATCGCAGGTTGTTAATGAGTTTCCTCCAATCCTG